GAGATCATTTAGTCCAGAAAGAAGCAGAAAGATAGTGGGCTTCAGGCAAGAAATATGGGAACCTGAATTATTGATTTAAAGATATTTGAAGATATGGTAAAGCCAACTGATGGAGTCTAAAATGGTGAATCTATTTGATCTTGATTCTAGGAACACTCTATTTTCAATGGCACAGGAAACACAAGAATAGATCAAAGGAGCAGAAAACACAGTCCTTACCACTAAGTAATATGGCTCTGCAATGAACAACATATTTTATTGTAGTTAAAAATATAACAAAATTTACCATCATAACAATTTTTCGGTGTACAGTTCAGCAATGTTAAGTATATTCACATTGTTGTGAAACTGATCTTCAGAACATTTTCATTTTGCAAATCTGAAACTCTATACCCATTAAACAAAACTCCCCTCTCCTCCTCCCCCCATCCCTGGTAATCACCATTCTACTTTCTGTTTGTATGAATTTAACAACTTTAGATACATGATTTAAGTGGAATCATACAGTATTTGCCTTTTTGTGACTATCTTATTTTACTTAGAATAATGCCCTCAAAGTTCATCCATGCTGTAGCATGTGATAGGCTTGCCTTCCTTTTTTAAGGCTGAATAATATTCCCATTCTTTACACACACACACCACATTTTGTTTATTCATTCATCCATATGTGGGTATTCGGGTTGCTTCCATCTCTTGCCAGTTGTGAATACTGCTGCTATGAATATGGGTGCACAAATATCTATTTGAGACTTTGCTTTCAATTCCTTTGGATATACACCCAGGAACAAGACTGCTGGATCATATAGAAGTTCTCTTTTAAATTTTTTGAGGAGCCTCCATACTGTTTTTATAGCACTTGCACGATTTTACAATCTCACCAACACTGCACAAAGGTACCAGTTTCTCTACATCCTTACAAACACTTGCTATTTTCTGGTTTTTGATAGCAGTCATCCTCATGTGTGTGTGAGGTAATACCTCATTGTGGTTTGGATCTCCATTTCTCTGATGATTAGTGATGTTGAGCATTTTTTCATATTTTTGTTGGTCATCTGCACATCATCTTCAGAGAAATGTCCATTCAATTACTTTGTTCATTTTTTAATGAGGTTACTTGATATTTTGTGGTTTCTGTTGGGTTGTAGGAGTTCTTAAATATTATGGACATTAACCCCTTATCGGATAAAAGATTTGCAGATATTTTCTCCCATTTGATAGATTGCCTTTTCACTGTTGACTGTGTTCTTTGATGCATAAAAATTTTTAAGTTTGATGTAGTGTCATTTGTCTATTTTTGCCTTCATTGCTTTTGGTGTCATGCCCAAGAAGTCATTGCCAAATTCAATGTCATGAAGCTTTTCTCCTGTGCTTTCTTCTAGGGATTTTATAGCGCAATGAATATTTTGAGAAAGAGAAAATCAGCCTCTTATAAATAGGAACTAGCCTAGCACTCACAAATGGGCCATGATCTTCTCCTGTTGAATATAAACAACTTCACAGAACATCATTAAAGATCATTGTGATAAGATGGAAAAAACCACAATAAGATGACATCATGATCATGCTTGAGCAGAGACAAAAACAAGAACATGGTAAACCGCCCCCCACCAAAAAATGACCAAGTCCTCTGTCCTAGCTTATTATGAGTGAATGCAGGTTTTTAAAAAACCAGTTACAGAGCCCAGTTACAGGGGCACCTGGGTGGCTGTCATTAAGCATCTGCCTTAGGCTCAGGTCATGATCCCAGGGTCCTGGGATTGAGCCCTGCATTGGGCTCCCTGCCCTCATCCACTCCCCTTGCTTGTGTTCCCTCTCTCTCTGTGTCTCTCTCTGTCAAATAAATAAATAAAATCTTTAAGACAAAACAAAAAAATAATAATAAAAAATAAAAAACCAGTTACAGCTTTAACCTCACTTTGTTCTTCTCATCTCCTAAATAAAATTCAGTAAGAGCCCTATAATAGAATTACTGCCATTCACTGAAAGCATCTAATCCAGGGCTACTTCCTTGAACTCTATGCAAAATCACTGAACACAAGCCCAAAACCTATAGCTCCTTTTTAAGGCGCTATTACTAAGGTAACCCATGCTTTCCCAGGATGTGCAGTCTCCCTCATTACAACAAGTCAATAAACCCAACTTTGTTCTGATGCAGTGTGTTCCTGGTGATCTTTGGCTGCAGGGCATTCATAATTTATGTGTCATTAATGGTGAATTTTTAATATTGATTTTCAGAAAACAGATCTACAGACAAAAGGGGGAATTCTTAGCTATGGTTGTAGAGTAAAAAATGTCATCAACCTTGACAAAAGTAAAAGTTAATTTGATAGAGGTCTGAAAGTGTAAGGGAGAAGGAGGTAAGAGGGAAAAAATAAGAACTGTATTCTATTCTGTCATACAAGTAAATGCAAAGGAACTGTTGTTAGTGGAACAATAAATGTTGCTAGTGGAATAATAAATAAAAGATTTCAGTTTGTGCAGGGAAGTACTGGAAAACAGTGACACAGCCATATGTGAAGGATGAATGAGAGAAGTTTTAAGTGTGCTAGGTACTAAACAACAGCAGGAAATTGAGGAAATTGTTTTAAGTTTACGAAAAAGTTACAAACATATTCTTTAGTAATAAAGAAATGAATATAAAAAGAACTAGAAATAAAAGGTTTAAAAGTACTTTCCAATGGGATAAAATGAAAAACAAATACCAAGTTTTGGCAAAAATGTGGAGGAACATCCAGACTGTACTGACAGCAGTGTAAATTGGTACAACCAGTTTGGAAAACTATTTGGAAGTATCTACTACACTTGATCTTAGCAGCAATTTCACTCCTAGGTATACACCAACAGAAAGGCATATAAATGTTTGCCAAAGGACATGTATGAGAATGTTCAAAGCAGTATTATTCGAATAGTCAAACCTTGCACCAACCCAAATAGGATGGGCAATAAATTGGGAAAGCTTCACACAATGGAATACTATACAGCAATGATAATAAAAACTAAAATTAAAAGCAATATCATGGACAAATTTCAGAAACATAATGTTCAGTGAAAGAAGCCAGACACAAAATAGTTCATACTCTACTATTCCATTGATATAAATTCAAAACAGGCAAAAACTAAAACATAGTATTGGCAGTCAGGATAGTTGTTATACTTAGGCTGGTAGTGACTTTAAGGGGTAATTTGTGTGGCACCTGAAATGCTAGCAATGTTTCATTTCTTCATCAAGATACTGGTACCAAGTATGTTCACTTTCTTAAAACACATTGAGCTGATGTCAGGATTTGTTCCCTTTTCTGTATGTATAGTTCAATAAAAAATGTTTGTTTAACAAAATGTTTGCCAGTGTAGATCAGAGCTAGGAAAGAAGAGTAGAAGATTGTTGACTTTTTTTTTTTTAAATTTACTTATTTGAGAGAGAGCGCAGGGGGGTGGGAAGGGGCAGAGGAAGAGAGAGAGAGAGAATTTCAAGCTGACTCTGAGTTGAGCCAGAGCCCCACACAGGCAGATCCTGACCCTGAAATCAAGACCTGAGCCAAAACCAAGAGCCCAGGCTTAACCATTGGAGCTACCCAGGTGCCCAGATTATTGTTGCTTTTTGTCAGGTTTTCTCACACATTACATTTGTTATCATGTGCATGTATTCCTTTGAAAACAAAATTATGTAAAAACATTTTTATTTTTGCTATTTAGCATCAAAAACACTTGGAGTGTGATGAAAAATGAATAGAATACAGAGAAAAACAATATTTGATTTCATTAAAATAGCTCACCCTGACAAATACCATCAGGAGCAAACATCTCAGAAAAATCAAGAGCATGCTTAGATTTGGGGTGGCACTGTGTAAATAGATGCCATGACATAGAATTCAGTTTTTCAAAACTGGACAAGATAAAGTTCAAAGGATAAATTTACTACAAAAGGGAAATCATACCTGAAGGTGGGGTTTTTCTCCGTGACGTTCTCAAACTTGGTATTTGGGGAAATTAGAGATAAATGGCAAAACACAGGGCATTATGATCAGATCCCTAATTGAATCCAAAGCTATTCCGGAAGGTGGCCTTTCCCTCTATTACTTCCACAGCGCCATGGGGCGGAAATTTGGGGATAATAGGCTTCAAGAACTTGAACTCATTTGACCCGGGGCCTTCCGTCAGACACACGTCATACTGGTAGCTGTGCGACAGGGTCCCCGCGCCGCTGACGTCCACCAGGTGGCCCGCAAAGGGGCCCTCGGGCACCGAGCAGCCGCCCCCCGACGC